AGAGGAAATGGTAGCCCAGATGGAGTCGGCTTTACTATCTCCAAAGCCATCTGAAGATGAGTTTGTGCCTTTTTTTTTAAATGATGGATTTGGTGCAGCTGGATTTTCTGAAGTTTGAGGAACAATGCCTTAAGTAAAAAATAAAAACAAAACAAAAAACAAAAAAAACCACAGCAGTTCGTGAATATTTTTCCTCTGTTTGGGAAAGCCAAGAACTGCCATCAGGAAGGAAGACTTTTTGGCTTGTGCTGGCATGATTATGGGAAGCAGGCATCAGCTGAATAGAGCGTCTCCAAAAACTGTCTACAAGTTTGGATTTGTTTTGTTTTCTTTCATTGCTGTTTCAAAAAAAAAAAAAAATTAAGGTAGTTGCCAAGAAAGTGGCAAATACTGTTGGGTCTTTGAAATTTAACCATTTTTTAAATCGAATTTTCAAATGTTTTCTCTCTTCTACATTATCTAGCAATTGAATTTATCAATTTGGTTGTTGAAGCATGTATTAGACACAATTGCAGGTTTAAGACTGGAATGCTTTTTATAAAAAGCAACTCGCATGAGATATTGCTTAAATTGTTAGGTATAAATATATATATGTGTATAATGTATATTCCAAATGTATTCCAAGCTTAGAAACCGGATTCTTATGAATTATTGATAAAATATTTATAATGCATTTATAGAAAAATATATATAATAAATGCATACTATAATAGTAGCCATTGAAAGCTCCAAAAAAAAGATTTGTGAATTGGAATGTAAAGGTGCTTTTGGAAAAGGATCCAGTTTGAAACTTGAGTACTTTCAAACTATAATTTGGAAAGTTTTCAGAACGCCAACACGTTAGCCACCGGGCAACTACCCTAAACATTTGTATTTTAAGTTAAGGTTTTTAGTTGTGATCCTTTTCTAACAAAAATAAGTTTTTTATAGCAAAGATTATGAATTTGCTGTTAATTTTTATATCAATATTTCACAAAACCCTACAGAAGCCTTGTTTGTGTGAATCTGACGTTTATTTTCCATTTGGCAGTTGTTTTTATTTTTTATTTTTCTGAACGGCAACGGTGTCTAAACCTTTTTCCTTCCTTATTTCTTTCTTGTACATTATTTTCCTTTTTTTTAAAAAAAAAAAAGTCTTTTGTACAGTGAGCAGCTTTCTGCAGGCGTAAGGAATTGTTGCAGATCGTCAGAGTTTATTTTTGGAAAGCGTGCATTTAATGAAGAGGAGGGAATGCAATGGGCTCTTTTGTATAATGATACCAACGACTGTATATTTCCTCAGTTCTGTTATAGTAGCTATGTAAAGAAAATAAGGAGTTTTCTTACCTTACACATAGTAGTATTACAATGGGTGATGTATTTATCCTCCATGTGGATTGTAGTGAGGATTACATACGGCTTTAGTAGCTACCATATGGAAGGCTTGTCAGACACTCTTGGGACAACTGGCATTTTCTCTCTCGCGCACACAAATACGCACTCACACTCACACTCGCACTCACACACACACACACACACACACGCACTGCCTCTCTCCTCTTCTTTCCGAATGACCGTGACTGGGAGAATTGCAACGTTAGCTATTTGAAGAACTTTTTCCTAAATTATTTTTCAGAGGAAGGTGTTGCTGGTCGAGCAAGTTTAAGCTTCAGCCTTGGCTGGATTTCCCTGTCGCCTTTTACAAATGGCCCGGTGGAGAAGCAGCTAGTTCCTGGGTTGAAGAGTTAAACAGCTTAAAGGAGACCAAATTGACACCTGTTACCTTCTCAAAGCAGTGTAGGGTAGCGCAGATCCCTCATCCGAACAACCAAGGGTATATTATTATGACAACTGACAGGGTCGTTTTATAGTAACTTATTTTCCAGTTCTTGAAGTGGCTATTTTCATTCCATTGAGAACCTACTCGTGGAAAGAATTTGAGGCATACCATCCATGTGAGCAAATGCAAGAGGGTTTTGTTTTGTTTTCAGGTTTGTAATGCAATTTGAAAAACAGACACTACTGTATTTGAGTTTTGCTAACCCAAGTACATTTTAAAATTATGAAGAGCTTTGGTCATTGGAGCCGTCTTCAGTGTATTCTAAAAACAGTGCTCACGTGTGAAAGCACAGCATACCTGCAGATGTTCTTTCTTAAAATGACCACTTTGCTGCTGTGATCTCCAATTAATCTGCGGAATTTGGTGACTTGATGTTCAGAATGGTCACTTAGCCTTTTATAAGGTGTCGGCGGTAAACCACGTTTACATGATCGCTTCTGTTGTCAGACCTTCCTAGCAGTTTTCTACTTTTAGTATCAGTTGTGGAAAGATCTTTTTTTTTTCTTTTCTCGTGTTCCTGAGAATTGCTGACTGACTGTGCTGACTTGGTTTCTTTTAAGGTTAGGTGACTGTCGCAAGCCTCAGCTGCTCAGTAGCTTTCCGGCTTGTTGCTTCAGGATGCCCCGTTCATTTCTTGAAATCGGTTTGCTAAGCTTTTTGCTGGAGGTAGAAAGATTTCCCAAGACACGAAAGCTTGTCTCCTCCCGAGTCCAGATCATGTGAATTTGTTCCTCAGATACGCCCGCTCCGTGGCTCAGGTCTGGATGATCTAGGAGCCCGTGCAGACAGAAAGCAAAACGGGCCTCTCGTTTTTGGGGATTGCCAGGGTTTGTACGTTTTGGGTTTTGGGGTTTTTTTTTTGCGTTTCCTCTTTTTTTTAATTTTTCTCCCCCACCTTTTGAGCCATGAACTTCTCCCTTCAGCCAGAGGGCCGGGGTGAGGGTGACGTGGGCTGGGGGGACGTTTTTCCCCTGCTTGGAAGGGAACGAACAGCTTGAAATCGTCTGATTGATAAGGAAGCGAGTCCCAGTTTGCAGTGTGCGATTAATCATTTGTGGGTTTTTTTTGGGGGGGAGGCGGGTTGATTTTTTTTTGGTTTGTTTTTTTTTTTACTTTTCGATACAAAACATTCCTTTTTTATTAGTCGCAGTCATGTATTCATTCCATTCTTCCTTTTGTAAACTTTTTGGGCCCACGTCTTTTATGGGCATTGATATATATAAATATATATATAAATATATATGAATATATTTTTTTAAGTTTCCTACACCTTGAGGTTGCATGGTCTGTAAGGCTGGCATGTCTTTATATTGTATACAGATTTTGCACGCCAAACTTGGCAGCTTTGAAAAAGAAAAAAAAAAACACAATTTTTTTTTTTTTTTCCTCTCGTGGCATTTGCGGAGACAAAGGTTGGGACATTTTTCGGTCACAAACACACACACTCACACAAATACACACAAAGGAAGAAGAGCGGGAAATTTTTTTGCGTCTTACTGAACTTAATAAGAAATTGTGCTTTTTATTGTAAAAAAAAAAGAATAAATAAAAAGGACTACTTAAACATTTCTCATTTTAAGAAGAAAGAGACGTTTATCTAGCACTTGTGACTTACCAATAATAGAGTTTATTGTATTTATGTGGAAACAGTGTTTTTAAGGAAACTACGCAGAACACACAAAGTAAACTGCCTGTGTCTTTCTTTTTCTTTTTTTTTAATTTGGTTGGGTATTTTAATTTCTTCACAGGGTGGGGAGGTTGGACACAACCCTTTGTCAACACACGTGGTCATTAATTCTGAGAAGATGACTGACGACGACTTTAAAGAGTTAACTCTTCAGCACAGCTGTGTTAACTTTTTTAAAATTACTTTTACATGATGTATTGGTAGGTTTCACTTTAAACAGTCCTGTACTGTGCAACACTGTGGTTTAAAACAAGACTTTACATCAAAAGGAAAACATGTTTCTTCATTGTCATGAAGTTGAGCTCGTTCTCAGCTCATCTTCACTTTGTCTTTGATATTGATGAAAAAGTATCCTATTGAAAGAAAATAAATTAACACTTTTCTGTGCTCCATAGTGGAGGCGCTATTTTCCAATTTATGAGGATGACAAACTTATATATATAATATATATATAAAAGTGGGGGGAGGGGTTGAAACATTATTCACCCAAGAGCTTATTACAGATATGTAGTATCAAAAAGTTGTAACTATATTATATTCTACTTTATACCTATACATGCTCAGTATGACATCACCATTGGTAGCAGCTACCGGTTTACGATGTAATTTAGACACAGTTTCACTCTTATTGTATGGACCCTACTTTAAGTGATGGTAGCATTCTTTGTGCTAAATTTTCTGATGGTCCTTTCTTTTACTTGGTGGAGTTGGAATTTTTTTTCATTCTTGTTTTTTGTTTGTTTTTGTTTTGTTTTTTCTTTTTCCCTTTTTTTTGTTTTTTGTTTTTTTAACTGGCCAATGGTGTCTTTTCTCTGACAGTACCGACTTCAATTTCAACTTTATTAGGAGTCCAGTATTTTGTACCACATTATGACAACTTGTTATTCTTGTGGTGTAAATAAAAAGAAAAAGTTAATTATAGTACCATCTTTGTTTCTGTCACTGATCTTTCTATCTGATGCCTCTGGTTTAATTGCTCAGAGCTTGCTTGCCCAGACAGCACTGTCAGTGTAACACTTCATGTGCTTTAAACAAGAGTTTCTTAACGTAGTTGATGAGAGACTCATTATTGGACCAGCTTCTTGGCCAAAAGATACCCATGCATATGCCATGATATTCCTGGTAGGAAAATTGCTAGACCTTCTGCGCAATTTCCCTGCCAGTTCTAAGGTGTTCGTGGACAGGCGCTTGCGTGTAGAGAACGTAGAAAAAAGCAGTGCTCTCTCTCTGAAGCTGAATTTCCGATAGGAAGTCCATGAGAGCTGGTCTTTGCTGAATTTCCCCCCAGAAACAGGACTGGGGAAATCAACACAGAGAAAAAGCTGACATTTTGTAGCTCCCTCCATTCCTCCCGTATTTTGCAGTTGTTGTTCCTTCACTTTGCAATAGCCTGAATTTCTTTGGAAGAGTATTTTGAAGAGAGCTGGGTAGACAATTACCTGCCCTCAAACCTATTCTGTAGGGGGTAAGATCTGAATCCCAGAGATCCTTATTCCCATTTTAGATTGCAATTACATCCACAGAGTAGTGGAGCTGTGGCATGTCTGCCCTTCTGCAGAGCTTATTCACCTCCCAGGTACGTAATTTGCTATTTCCATTCATGAAGGTCAGGTTCTGCTTTGCCCAGTTGTGCAAGACTGGGTTGGGTGGAAGACTGTGCTGCAAATGCACAAATCATGTGTGTACCTGGTCTGAGCAAATTCTGCACACTTAGCTGAATTGTCCGTACCTCAGGAAAGGGCTGTGATTGCCAGAATCAAATGACATGAGCTGCAACGCATTATAGCCCCACAGCACTTCTGCTGGGAGAAATAATGGGTGAGCAAGATGGAGCTTGGAAGCCAGCGTTGAGAGTATTTATTTGCCTGAAGTCCATGCAGCTCAAATCCTTCCTCAGAGCAACGTATTTCTGTTAGGAAATATGGATCTTCCTATCTTAGGAAGATCCCGGTGGGCTGAGCACTATTCCTGGCACATGGGAGAGCTGGCACTGAACTATTCCCAATAAGGCAGTGTGTCCCCACCTTCCCAAGCATGGGTCATTGCCCCGGCTGCTGTGAATGAGGCCAGGAGTGCCAGGAATAGTCTTGTTGTGCTTTGGGGGAAAGGAGGTGCTGAGACATAGGTGGCTCTGGGAGGGCTGCTGGCTCCAATCACAAAAGGATCGTGGCTTGGAGGAGCTGGACTCCTCCCTGGGTTCCTCTAGGACCAGGGCTGAGGATCTATCTGAGGTTCTCAGCGTCATTCTCAAGTGTTTTAAGTTCACATCAGTTAAGCAGATTTATTATCAAATCATTGTACGAATCATTCTGCTTGTGCATGGAGCTTGCTGAACCATCTGAGGTCCACCTTCTCCATACGTTTCAATATTAGGCTTTTTTGCAAGGCAACAAGCTAAGCCTCAGCTCTGGTATCCTGGGTTTTAAAAGTCTCCTTCCTGGATGGAGAAGGCAAGTCCTTGAGCCTCCCATTTAAACTAAGGCTCATGTCATTCTGCAGAGTGGATTTAAAAAGGAAAGACTTGCCCATTGTATGGGAACTACTGTAGAGCAACCCTGGCATAAAATGTAACAAGTACTATGTTTTCTGTCTTTTTATGCTGAAGAGTAGCCTTCAGCATAACATCACCGTGTGTGAGACACTTATGAAGAGCAGTGCAGAGTAGGACAAGGAAGAGTAGTCAGTCACCATCTTGTAGAGTGACCCCCATCGTGACTTTGGTGCCTATTTGTTATACCATTGGTGAACCTAAGCAATTAGCCAAGGGAAAAATTGCCATTCCTTCTTCAAGTCTGGATCATCACTTCTTAAGTGGGAATGAGCCTGCCATGGCCTAGGATCATCTTCATTGGTACTGTATGTAGTTCAGCATGGCAGTGCAAGACGCTGTGGGGTTTGTTAGTCTTTATGGAGGGAAGAGAGGAAAAGCCCAAAACGAGACGTAGTAGATGAAGCTTTAAGGTGTCTAAAGGGAATTGACCTTGTGGAAGGTCTGGAGGAGAGCAGATAGCAAAAAACTAACAACAAAACAAACAAAAAGCCCACTATCAGCTAGCTAGAAGCCAAGACTGCGGTTCCAAAGCACCTCTTGGGCACTTACCCACCTCTTTACTTACAATTAATTACAAAATCACTGTGTTGGCTTCACAGTGGAGTTGCTGGCATTTGCAGTCTCCTCACACTTCTCTGTGACCTCCTTTGGCATATGTGGTCTTGGGGGCATTGCAGATCTCATGTCAGCAAGCATCACTTTCTCATCCTGTGTACTAGGTTCAGCCCTTCTGAACATGCAGGGATCAGCTTCTCCGAAGGTGCTCTGAGAAAAAGAGGCCCAAAACCCAGGGTAAGACGACCAGAGTGGGGGGAATACAAACACATGACGAATCTGCCACGCATGGTGACAAAGGTGTCGGGCTGCACATGCCTCTTGTCTCAGGAGGGTGGGGAAGGCACAGGTAAAGTTGCTTATGGTCTAAACCCACCTAGGCCTTTGCCCTTTGAGATGACGAAAGGATTAGAGAAGTCAGCCTGTGCAATGCCCTGTTTGTGTACCAGGGCAACACGTGATCCTGTCGCATCCCTGCTCATGGCAGAAATGGCAGCTCTCTCCTGTGAGCTGTCCTGCATGGGTAGCGAGCGTTTGCATGTTGCTTGCTTGAGCTGTGGTATACCAGCACCCAAACCTGGACACAGCCCCCCCCCCCCCCCGGAGCTCAGCGCAAGCTCGAGGGCGAGCACCTGCCTGGTACCTAGGCAGCACCGTATCATGCTTGCTTCAGCAATGTGCAAGAATCATGAGGGCACTTGCCAGCTGTGACAACCCCTGTGCAATTAATTAGAGAGCGTTGGTAAAGACATTGGAGGGGAAAGGGTGCAAGGCTGCAGCTCCTTCAGGAAGAGGCACCTGGGGCCTTTTTGGGCTGGAGTTTAAGAACGATCTTACAGGAACAGGGAGAGAGCATCAGCTGGTGTGAAATCCTCCAGCAGGCCAACCAAGCCCAGCTCTTAAAGCCTCTAGAAAGAGGGTTTGTTTGGAGAGGGTTTCAAATACGAGTTCCGTTTCCCATGCAGTACTTTGGCCATAAGTTGTTAATCTTTAAGAAGTCCCAGATCTTGCTCTGCAAAGCTACGTGGGATCTGACAAACACTCATGGCTAAGCAATGCTTTCAAGACTCTATGAATTCGGATGATAGAGGGGAGACTGTTCAAAAGGTGCTGGGCTAGATGTTTTGGAGGGTAGCCTGTGACAGGGTAACCTGGGCTTCCCCTCGGAGACCCTAGGACAAACAGTGTCTCTGTATCTGCATCTGCAACAATACTTTTTGCGTATCCAAACCCACCCATTAAAACCTGCTGGTCCAGCCCCATGTGTGCAGCTTGCTGGGGAGCGGGCCATGACCCTTGAGTGTTGACATGTTGGGCCTATGAATTCATCGGCAATCCAAAGGCTGCCTAATCTAGCCTGAAATGTTCTGGGCTTGCTGCTCTGCTTGAATATGTGGCTGTAAGCCTGATGCAATGCAATGGGGAATTCGGTTCGCTGCCTCCTGGAGGGTTAAACTAAAGAGCGTGGCACCTATGGTGGGGGGGGGGTCTCTGTATTAAATAATATATTTCAATAAGTGCTGCTTTAGCCATGGAAATTTTTATAGCTAGGTATCCATTAATCCTAAAGAAAATAACCTTGCACCAAAATTAATGTGCCCAAAACCTTTACAGTAGTTCCCAGGGTGCCTGCTATCTCCCGTTGCTTGAATGCCTGCAGCTGAGAGCAAAGGGCAGCCGCCGAGCCAGGTATTTTTTCACAGCCGTCTGGAGGATGGGTGCTGGCTCTGTGGGGAGGGAAGTCATTTCCTTGGGCTTTTCTGGGTTTAGTGGGATTTGATTTTTTTTTTTTTTTAAAGAAGAACGAGGCTGTTTCTCAATCTGGGCAACAAGTCAAGGCTTCGTGCTTTAAATGAATGTCTCTCTAGGACTGGAAACACTGCAGGGGAAAGAATAAGGTCCAGTATTAAATATATAGCCTGTGTGCACAGGGGGTGAGAGCTCAGCCAGTGCCAGCAATACGTCCTTGTCCTGTGATGGGATTTGGCGCTCTGCTGAGTGGAAACTTTCTCCTAGGGCTGGTGCATGTTTGAGCCTCTTACGGGTTGCTCTAAAGCCCATTTAGGGAGCTGGAACTTTATTTGTTCCCCCTGCCTGGATGTTATGCACAAAATGTGAATGTAATCTGCAAAGTTGCCCTGCAGTGTCACTTGCTTTCTTCCCTGGGTGATGGGAACAATTTTGCTGATAGCAGGAAGGCGGGCAGCCACAAATAAGGCAGATGATAGTCTCTTGTGATAAACTAAGCACAAGCCTGTGTGTGCCTGTCGCCACCCTCTTTGGGCTTCCTGGCTCTAGGCAGAGGTCGCAGCAGGCAAGCTCCAGCGTTTGTCCCAGGACAGGGACCCACACCCCCTCGTCCCATCCATTCTCTTTCCTGGTGTGCTGTCCTATCATGCTGCAAAATGTCTGCTGGGCAGATATCCCCCAGGGAAGGCAAGTCAAACACTGGTCTTCCTCACCCAGAGGAATGAGATGCTGCTGGCGTCATCCTGCCTAGAGCTTGCTTTCCTTCTGTCTGTTTCCCGTCTTGCTGCACCTGGATCTCTGCCATAGTCAAGAGTGGCGTTGGAGCATGTCCTTCACAGTGTTCAAAAGCAAGACTCTTGTGTCCAAAATAGGATCTGACCTCAAATCCTCTTCCACCACGTATACCCCTGAGGGGCAGCATTGAGGCTAAAGGGCTGTGAGTGGGATGGGAGGGATGAACAGGCTGACAGAAATATATGGAGGAGAGGGAAATGCTGGACCAGTATTGGAAGGAAGAACTAATGTGATCTGCAGGGAGGAGCAGACACAGATTGGAGCAGAAATCTTGCGGGAGGAGCTTGGGGAGAGGGTGGGCTGGGAAAGGTGCAGGCAGGAGTCATCACCGGCCAGGGCACAGCTGGAAGCTGGCATGATAGGC